TATAAAAAGGTTTATGAAGCAAAAAATAATACTGAGCTTGTTTATTAAATATTAGAATTTCGAACCAAGGGGATTGCATGTGTATGCGTACACACGCATCAGCTTTACTGAGATATCATTCACATACCTTAGAATTCACCCATTTAAAGCATATAGTTAAATGATTTTTAGTATAGTCACAGAGTTGTGCAACCATCACCAAAATCCACTTTAGAATATTTTCAAGGGGCATCTCTTAAAGCAAGAAAGAGTTTTTAGATCAAACTAGGCTAAATACTCCTCTACACAGCAGGGAACCCCCCCCACAACAACACATATGGAACTTGTTTCTGACAAAGATGGTATACATTGAAGAGATAAAGAGGCTTAGAGAAACTCTGAAACATCACTGAGGACAAATCATGTCCCCCTTCCTCTCTCAAAATCAGCCCCTGGATGTGACTGTCAGGCACAGGATATGCTACACGATGGGCCTCTCCCCACGGTCTAATTAAAAGGCCTAACTGGGGGCTGGGGTGGGGGTGAATTCTCTAGATTAAAGTCCACAACTCAGCTGAAAACATTTAACCCTGTAGCATCCGTGAAAGTCAGAGGTGACAGCATTTTCTCCGTGACATGCACACCTGCTCGGGCAAAATGAACCTCAGAGGCCTGGCTGACGGTACAGATGAGGCAGCCATCAGATGGAACTATTTTGTATCACTGGCTGATGGAAGCCACGTTCGAATCCACGCCCAGAGATGAAATGTCAAAGCGCTCTGAAGCTAACCCCCAAACCCACGAGGTCCTCCATCATAATTGCTCGTGAAAATCACTACTATTAGCAGCCACACAACATCATCTGAAAAGTTCTCTGAGGGGGAAAGAATGTTTTTGGACTAAGCAACCTCTCTCTGTGAAGCCTGCACTGACACGCTAATAGTTTCCATCAATGCTTAAATGGTTTCAGGAAGCACACACATGATATATAAGATCAGTGTGACAGAGGAGACGCACAGACCGGGCTTGCAGAAGTGTCTTAGAAAGGAAACAGCTTAATATAATAACGGGAGTTACTACTTCCGAGATTAGGAAAATATAAAGCTAGAGCAACAGTCATCTGAATGAAAGCAAAACGACCCAGAAAACAAATTTCACAGACAACAGGCCAGCAGCCAGCCCTAATATCTGACCCAAGTGTAATGTTCGACTTTAACAATCGGATAACATTTTCCCTAATCTTTAATGACGACGTTTAATTTTCTTAGGCTCCTTCCCTTAATTACAATGGTATGCACATGAAGGTGCCAAATATTGTCCATAAAAGGAAATGAAAGTGCTCAAAATAGTGAGGCATGGCGAAAAGATGTTGGACACAGTTGTGTGTGTGTGTTTGTGTTCATATAATTGGTAGCACATGAGGAATAAAAGGCAGAGGACATGATGTGCACGAGCCGCACAATTCGTTGACATGAAGCCCGTGTCCTCCCCACCCGTGCAGTTATAAAGTTATACATTTATGAAGACACTATATATGGAGCACTATCAATCTAGGACCAGCAGATACTCTCGAGTTGTACCATAGAACAAAATATTAAAGAGTAAAATGAGAGAAAAAGAAACACAATTGTAAATTATATAATCTTATTCTTTAACATAAGAAGGAAAACTGGTACTGGGAAGGCATCACAGTGTCCTAGAAAGAGATGGACTTTGGAAGTGGATTATGTAGTGCTGGGACATGGAAAATGGTCTCCCCTCTTGGGGCCTCTGTTTACCCATCAGAACAATGGGACTAATCTCAAGTCCACTCTTCCTGGGACATTGTGAGGATGAACTGAGATAAAGCTTCCACATAGTACCAAACTCATGGGGAGCACTCAAAATGTGCTTTCTTTTCAATGACTTAAAAATCTAAAAGAAATTAGATGTCATAAGGATTCATCCTGTGTCAGGTACTGCACTGCATGATTTACACATCTCACAAAACCCAGATAAACAGTGTTTTCCTGGGTTCCCAATATGAAAACGAAGACTCAGAGAGGTGAAGTAACGTGCTTAAGGTCATTCAACCACTAACAGGTAGAAGCAATATCTGAATCCAAGTCTTTCAAATTCTGCGACGGGTTAAGAAATAGTATTAAATAGCCAAGCCAAGAACATTTACTGAACTCCCTTTTCATATGAAGTGCCAAGGAGATCTAGAGCCACTCTGGTGTCTTTACAAATACAGCCACTCTAGTCTCTTTCTAAACTCTAAAGGAAAGACCATAGGTTCCCACGTATCTGAGGGACTGACAAGTAAAAGAGGCTTTCACCTACAAGCAAACACTTCAAAGTGTTATTTTTAATTAGAAGGTTGCAGCTGTATCTTTAAAAATATTTTTATTTATTGATGGGGGGGGGAGGGAGAGAAACATCAATTTGTTATTCTGCTTATTTATGCATTCATTGGTTGTTTCTGACAGGAATTGATCACATAACCTTGATGGATTGGGAGGATGCTCTAACCAACTGAGCTACCTGGCCAGGGCCTTCCATCTGTACCTTTTAAAGGTGGCACTTCTGCTTTCTTCTGCTCTCCTGCCTCATGGCCAGAAGTGCCACCTGGAAGAAATGCCACATGGCAGAGCGCATGCCTGTCCCAGACCTCCCACATCCTGGACGTGTGGCCTTGGACAAATTACTAGACCTTTCTGAACTTCGATTTCCACCTGGAAACATGCAAACACCATGAGGATGCCCATCTTCCCAAGGTTATTTTGAGGGTTAACTATAACATATGCACTTCACTTTCTACATGCCAATGCCGAACCTACCATTATAATTAACTAGAATCCCAACCTTGGTACATTAGAGTCACGCACAGCATGACAAACACACCTCACCCGTAGCAGAGTGCTTGGCATAAAGGAACCACCCACACACACAATGATAAGTTTTTCCTTTCCCCTTGACGAAGACTTAGGGACTGAGAAGAGGAGGGGATGGAGAAGGACTCCAGCTGTGAGGAGAACCTGAGGGACCAGCTGCCCAGAAGGACAAACATCAGTCACCATACGGGCTGGATGAACAATGACCAGCTGGATGAATGATGACTCTGGCTTGCCCACCTCAGATGTCAGCGGTGGACGTGGTCAACTCCTCTAACCACTTCTCTCCCAGTGACCTGGATGCATCCCAGTTTGCTGTTTGCAATGAGCTGGCCCGGAGCAGCTTGGGTAAGAAAAAGAAATTGCTCTGCTAAATGCTGTGTAAAGTAATGACACTGAGCAAAAACTTGAAAGTCTGAAAGGATCTCCTGGATGCCGGCCATGAGTAATTGCCATGTTGGGACTGGCAACGAAAACAGCATTGCAGAGATATTTACCCAATTTTCATAAAAACTATTATGGCTTTATTTTCAAAGCAAGTAACTACAGAGCCATGTGGCTTGTCGGTAAATGCTCAAGTGATTAACTGAGAAATGTGGAGGTGGGTGGAAGAAGGCTGTTAGGCATACGAATCTGAGAAAAACAAAATTTAGAAGAAGATGATTTCTGAATTGTGAAAGCTAAAAGCATTCTGGTCTCCGGAATGATGTTCCACATGACAGCGCTACGTCTTAGACCCCAGGAGAGACAGGAGGGAACAGTGGCACATCTGTTTCAGTGGTTATTTTTGAACATGCTCAGAGTTAGGTTTTCACATTCAGGTTTCCTCAGAGTTCGAAATCTGGCACACACCAAGAGCCAGTTGCAAAGCCCAACTGCATTTTTAGAATGAGTCCTGCTGCCGGGGTGGGAGCTCTCCTTCCTTTCTTATTTGCAGGCCTGCCCTCTCCCCTCCCCTCGCCTATCCCTGTGGGCATTAGATGAGCCCAGACTGGCCTGCAGGCTGAAGGAGGGGGTTGGGAAGGACCTGCCGGAGCATCTTGGGAGTCGGGGAGGGAATGGGTTGAGTTACCTGGGCGAGGTCTGAGACGCCTCCTATCCCACTGCCATTCACAGCCTTGCCTGTGAAACTCACTGCGATGCCAATCACCCAGGGTGAAGATGATGAGTAAGAAAGTAACTTAAGCTGGGCTACGGAACCTGGCAACCTCAACAAGTACTTCTGCATCGATATGATACTGCCAGTGGCTGCCTTCTGGACCCATTACAGCAAGCATGTCAAACTCAAAGGCTAAAATGGGTCAAATAAACAAGGCATGTGGCCCGAGGGCCGCGAGTTTGACATGCTTGTGATTACAGCATTCCTGATAACCCATCCCTATTACCCCCACTGGGGCTGCTGGTGCCATCACCATGGCTGACACCGTTACTGCAAACAGCACCACCACACAACTGGAAAGTGACACGCTGCATTTAAAGCCAGGTCTGCTGGCTCCCTATGTCCAGAACAAAAAACTTGGTTTTCCTTCCAAAACACTGGAATGGGCACATCACAGGCGGACACTCTGCTACCAGGCATTTTCATTAAATACAGCCACTCTGGTCTCCTTGCAAATACAAGTGCAGAGGACATGCCTTCTCTTCTGCCAGCTCTGTACGAGTGCCGCTTCTTCAAAGGGTCCCGTGCTCACTCCTCCTGCAGACATTGAACTCAACCGCATGCCAGCATGCCACATAAGGACCACAGGCCACGGACACAAACAGGATTTTAGAATTTCTGGAGAAAAGCCACTTGACTTCTGATGTCCCAGTGGCCCCCACACGATGTCTGTTCTGGATTCACGGCGACATTTGCAAGCAAACGACATCTTGGAAGGATGAGGCAAACATGACCACATCTGAGGGTTGGTAACTGAAGATGGTACTGCTTTCCTACAGACAGCATTTCATTTAGTTTTTGCAATAATGCTTTAAACTCTAAGTCTAAATCACTTTCTCTACAAAAGGGACAGTGCTTTCAAGAGAGGCTAGGAACATTCCGCCCCTGTCCCTATGACTTGGTAATTTCTACCATGTGAGAGACATTTCCAGATGACTCAGAATCGGTATAAAATTAGCACATAAATGATAACGCATGCAAAATGCATATGCTTTGTAGCATTTTAATGAGTCAATAAATATTTATTGTTTGAAAATATGAGATTACAGCATTGCTTCTTTTATTGGAAATCACTTAGAAATAGTCTCTCTACTTTAAATTTGAGCTGTTAAAATGATTAGATCAGAGCATTTTATAATATTGAATTTCAATGCTAAATTTGCCATGAAGTTAAAATTCTACAAAAAATCATAAATTAAGATGAAAAGACTATGTCACAAAAAGTAGAGCCAATAGAATCACACCAGGCCCGAGTAAAAGCAGTTCTCTCTCTCTCTCTCTCTCTCTCTCTCTCTCTCTCTCTCTCTCTCACACACACACACACACATATACCATTACCACAAAATATTTATAAAATGTCAAAACAGTGACATTTTTCAATTCACTTGTATAATAAAATGATTTTGAAAAAGAACTATACCTATTTTCTAGAGAAAGGCTCATTAGCAATAAAACGAACTTCTGGGGCATGAGTTACATCCCTGCAATTCTGCAGCAAAAGACTCTTCCCTCCAAACAGGATGCACTGAGTGTTTAACACATTAATTATCATCCTTCATCAAGCATAAAACTAACAGTCAGGAAATACAGCTGCGGTGGCACAATTATCAACACACTCAGAATACACCCCGCAGCAAAGAAAACAAATGGGTCGCTTTTCATTAACCGAGCCTGGCAAACCTCTCCAAAGACAATGCTTTCTTTCTAGCCAGAGACCCAAAAGGCATGTAAGGGACTATTCACTTAGGTAAATCCAGAGAACAAATAAATCATGAAAATATCTATTTAAATGTCAAAGTATCCATTATGGAAATACAGTGCCCTTCAGAAGAAAATTACATACATTAAAAGATGACTTGATCAAATCAAAATCTAACTATAAGGCCTGTGTTTAAAAAATATGTTAGTGCAAGGGAGTTGGTAAGTCAGGTAATATCCTCAGGCTTGGTGGCGATACAGAAGGTACTGATGGTTTTCATTTTCATGTTTCATGGCACACAATAGGAAATGCACGGACCTCTGTTATGCAACGATGGGCTGTGGAATAACAGGATTCTATTATACAGGGTTAAATCCATATAAAAATAATTAGCCATTAGATTGAGAGTCTAGATGAATAGCATTCAAGAGAGGTAATAAAAGCATAGTTTATTTGGTTGGTTTCTGGACACTTAACATTCTTGATATTACCATAATCATATTACACCTTAACAGATGTACTACTGCTACTGAGTTTGTATTACAAGTAAACCATAAACTGGTACTTAACCCATAACTTAAGGAAGGCTCTGGGGATGTGAAAGGCAATGGAGAGTCATCTGCCCAAAATATTTGCAATTATGTCCTGAACCATTGCCATCAAACTTTCACTAAATTCCCTGCCCAGAAGTCCTCTAACATAATCAGCTTGGTCCTCTCAGCAGAATTAAATATCGTGGCAAAAATTCAGGAGCCATATTTCCCTCTGCACAGGAGGCCAGGGAAACACAGAAGGATTCTTCCATTCTTGTGGCACAAATTCAATCTCATATCGTACTTCATATGCAATTAACTCACACCTGAGCTTCTTTTAAGTCGTGTGTGGGGTAGGCATCACTTTATCGTCTACCTGGCTGATTTGTGTTATGTACAATTGTCTTTCAAAAGACAACCTCTGAAGTTGTATGTAGCATAAAATAAAATCTGATGCACATTCATGCCCTCTCTGCTTTATCAGAATAATCCATAGGATTCTGCTCAGGCCTGTGTAAGAAATATAAATAGGATGAGTTGTACTAATTTTAATCAATCTAAAGCTATCAATTAAATCCATCTTATCTAGTGTGTCATTTAAGGCTGCTGGCTCCTTATTGATTTTCTGTCTGAAGATCCAGCCATTGACGTCAATGTGGTTTTAAAATCCCCTACTATGACTGCATTACTGTTGACCTCTCCCTTTACGTCCATCAGGATTTGCTTTATATATTTTGCGCTCCTATGTTGGGTGCATAAATGTTTACAAGGATTATAACCTCTTGTTGGATTGCTCCCTTTATCATTATGTAGTGTCCTTCTTTGTCTCTTTATTATGGTCTTTGTTTCAAAGTCTGTTTTGGTCGGATAAAGGAATTGCTACCCAACTTTTTATATTCATTTCCATTTGCAAAAAAGATCTTCTTCTGCCCTTTTACTTTTAGTCTGTGTGAGTCTTTTGTGCTGAGGTGGGTCTCTTGTAGACATCATATGTAAGGGTCTTCGTTTCCTATCCATTCAGCCACCCCATGTCTTTTGATTGGACCATTTAAGCCATTTCCATGTAAAGTGTTATTGACAGGTACGTATTTATTGTCACTTTATTCTTTATAACTATGCTCCTCTCTTTTCTTTTTCTAATTTTAATCAGTAGGCGTTGGTCGGGATAACTGCTTCAGTCCTTACGCACAGGGGCAACACTGCGATGTGCTGAGGAAGGCTGTGTGAAAAACGAAAGGTCCCTCTCCTCAAGTGCTCATCGTCCAGCTGACGAAGAAAAGGCACATTCTGAATCCATTCATGCAGCTGTTAGCGAGCGAGCGAGCGACCCGCTGACAAAGGGATTGTGAGGAGCCAACCCCATGGCCAGGGGTCCTGTCTGGTGTCAGGTCAGGTACATCACAAGGTGAGTAGACTGTCTTGGGTTCCTCTTGGGACTTTCCTTTAAAGGGCCAGGGACTTAAAGGGTTTCTGCCTTAGTATTTTCGTAGATGCAATGACATTTACAAACATCTTTTTTTTTTTTTTTTTTTTTTTTTTTAGCACAAGGGCAAACTTTATTTTGGACCTTTAAAATTGGCCATAGTGTAAAAAAGAGTCCATGGTCTTACATTAGTGAATTCATACTAAAAATACTCTTATTTTCGTTAAGATGAATGGTAAAACTTTACATATGCTACAAGTATATTACATGTATTTACATGGCTCTTTCCTAGGTACTTTCACATTATACAACTCCCTACTTTAAGCAAGCTTTGCAGGGATGATTTGAGGCCAATCACTATCAGAATAGCCTATGCAGTGCTATAATACAAAAATGTTATTTTAAAAGTTACTCTGTGACCACCAAATAACTTTCTATAAGAAATGGCACATTTGTTGCAGTCACCTATCCACTGCATATAACGGGGCCAATGGAGGATACAGTCTCATTCTAAATAGCTTCTACTGCCCCTTCCACATTCACCACCATTCGGTTTAATCATTACTTTACCCCCAACAAGCAAGAGTTTAAAAAGTTGATTCCTTTAACATTCTCCAAATCTAGAGTAGTTTTGCTTAAAAGTTAATTGAGAATACTTGATATAAGTACAATTATCAGTAACTTAGTTATTTTAAGTGGCACTGATATTACCATTACATCACAGTGCACAGCAACACAAAACAAGATGAAGTCTGTATTTTCTACAATAATTAGCAGGGTTTAACACAGATTAATTACTGAGTATTGAATTTGGTGTGAAACAATTGTCAACTACCCTTAAATATTACTCAGTTTAAACATTAGTACTTTATCTTATTTTATACCTGTACCTTAAGTAAGGTTTTCAGTTGAAATGTCATTATTTCCTTATCAGAAGGATTAAAGGAAACAGGAACCCAGTGGCTTGGTGGTTTAGGAAGCACACTTGGTGATGGCGGCTCACTAAATTTGGCTCCAGCATAGTTCTGATTCGTTTGAGACTTAAAAAGCAAGCTGGGACTTGATAAATTGGAGTTCCAATTTTGATTATTTGGAAAGTTTTTGTTCTTCCCCCCATTTTGCATGGCCTGCCATGCAGCTGCTGATGTGTTATAAGTATGTCCTCTTTCTTTTTTCTTATGAACCATCTTCATCTGGGAATTTTGATCCTTGGTCTTCTGTATTAAGTTGTTGGTTCTTACTAACATTTCTAGATTGAGGGGCTGGAATGTTATACCTCTCTCCACCACCCATCTTCAGCTTCTTTGTCACCTTTCAGTCTGCTTTTCAGATTGCAGGATTTCCACTGCCTGTCCTCTTCCTTGTTGCCAAGCCCAGGATAATAGATGTTGCTTTCTCTCAGGTCCTCTTCTTTGTCTCAGTGCAGAAGTTCTCATGGGCCAATCTGCGGAGTCCAGCCTAGGAGCTGAGGCCAACATCTGAGTCTCCTCAGCACACACAGTTGAGAGAAGTCTTAGTGACTTCAAGCTCAGGACTGCGGCGGCGGCTCCTACCGGCAGCGAGGCCCCCTCCCCTTCCAGGGAGAGGCGAGGCATGGGACGGACACAGCCCGCGAGCACCACGACCCAGCTGCTGGCACCTCAGGGCCCTGACGACTTCCTCCTTCTGTCTCTACTGACAAAATGCCATTTACAAACATCTTAAATCAAAGATGTGTTTAATGGGGAAAAATAGCTTTTTAATGTTTGTTAATAAGAAAGATGATGAGACACAAATTGCCTGAAAGATCAGAAAGAAGGTAATGTCAAGGTGAACTTGAACTAGTTCTTTCCTGGTACTTTCTTTCTAAGGATAAGACCTGGCAGCCCAGCGTTCGCTCACCATTCTTCAAATCTGCGTGGAACCCAAATCATTTTCTGATCTTGCCATGCACTCACCCTCAGCAACCAGTACGAGAGCAAAACGATGCCACATTCAGCTGCGAAACTGGGAACCAGACATGTGCACGTATCCCTCTTGAGTTGAGAAATCATTGTGTTTGATGTTGCTTTTTCAATTAGAGAATATTACTACAGCCTTATGATAAAATCCACTTCTACACTGGATGGTACTCACAGAATAAAATGTTATTTGCCAGAAGTAAGGGAGAAAAAATACTTTCTCAAGCGAGCATTTCTGAATTTAATAATTAAAAAGTAACAGTGTACTAGACTTGTACATGCTTTCCTTTAGCCATGTCAAACTAGCATTTGAAAGGAGCAGGATCCAGCCTCAGGTTGGAGTTCACCACAATTCATCTCCTAGTTACATGTACACCCCAAGGTTCAACCTGTGTATTTGGATTGTTCTGGCTTTGAATACTGATGCAGTAAAAAGACTCCACTGGGGGCCCTGGCTGGGTGTCTCAGTTGGTTGAAGCATAAGCCCATATACCAAAAGGTTGTAGGTTCAATTCTTGGTTAAGGTACATAACTAGGTTGAGGTTTGATCCCTGGTTGGGGCACATATGGGCGGTAACTGATTCATGTTTCTCTCTCACATTGATGTTTCTATGTTTCTCTCTCTTTCTCTCTCTCTCTCTCTCTCTCTCTCTCTCTCTCTCTCTCTCTCTCTCTCTTTTCTCTCTCCCCCTTCCTCTCTCTAAAATCAACAAACATATCCTTGGATGAGGATTTTTTTAAAAAAAGTCTCTGCTGGGGGCATAATTTTCACTTTGCTTTTGGGGTCTGTTAGAATAAAGAGGCTTGCTGCAATGGACGCTGTGATACAAACCATACTTTTCATAGGATTTTCTAATAGCCTCCCTAGCTTTCATACCTTCAATGTAGTGAATTCATATGGCTGATAACCTCTGAAGCTCTCATGGATGGCTGCCATAGTGTGAGAAGTTTTCTCCCAAAAATGAAGCAGAGTGGTCTGTAAAGAAAGACAGGAAAACTATTGAAGTTTTGAATGCCCAGTTCTAGTCATGGGCCCCAGAGAAATGTGCCACCTGTGGCTGTCAAGGTCCTCCAAAATATATTGCAACCCATCTCTGCAGACTCCTTTCCCATTATGGCCCCCACTTAAACCCTGTATTTCAGCCAAACTCAGTGCCCGCCTGTTCCCCTAAACACACCGACGCTGGTGGCTTATGTGCTCTGCCACCCGGGACAGTCTCCTCTCCATTCTCTTTGTACTTATTCCAGATCCACCCTCCAAAACCCAGCACTAGCCGTTAACTATACTTTTCTGATCCCTCAACTGATTCAATTTCTCCCTCTTCAAACACCGGTCAGATTTTATAGAACTTATTTTACTGAGCATACCCTGTGCTGTCCTCAAGGTATAGAAAATTTAGTCAGATTTTACTCTCTCCCTTCCTTCCTAAATCTTTGGGGACTGAGAATCTGGTCTTATTATTTCTTATATTCCCGATAACACTAGAGTGTGGCCTCCCACACTCGGTTGGTGCTCATGGTACTGTTGATGGGCACACAGCACTAACCTGAAGTTAGTGGGAGGCAACCAAGGGCATGAAATGATGACAGCCTGAGGGGTAAGCGACCTTGCCATGAGAAGTACAGGCTCGGTGCTGGGTTCACAGGAGGCTTTCTGAAGGATATGACACAGCCCAGTACATCAAACAGAGTGGGACTTGAAGGGCACCAATGGAGGGGGGCAGGACACTCAGGTAGGAATCACCACCTATGCCAAGGCAGGGAAGTGGGGAATTATGGTGCTTGTACAGGGAATAGCCAATATTTGGTTGGATTAAACTGCAGTCTACTAGAAGGGAGAGATGTAGGAAGCAAATTATGAGAAAGGCATTCAGAACTTCATAATGCCAAAACCATACTTGGAGCTCAAATATCCTCTTTCTGTTTTCTAAACATCATAATATTCTTGGTTCACTGTAACAGATATCACTTTGTTACCTGGTATGTTGCTAGCATATGAGACAAGAGATTGCATCTGCTCGCTCCGAGAAGATCCACTTTTTGACACACGTCCATCTTCAATTTGTCAAAGCTTTTTTTGGCAAGACGTACTTGTGCTTGTACCTGTGAGAGTAAAAGGAACCACTTTGAACTAATCAAACTCTTAAGTAGCTAAAATTTCCCCATTAGAAAAGACCAATAGTGGGCTTATCTCTTTCATATAAGAAAACACCTTTGAAAATTCTAGGCAGGCAAGAAGATCCTATAACACCCATTGTTTGCCAACAAAGGACCAGAACGACAGTACTGGATATTATGATTGCATAGCAAAATCACCATCCTAATTATATTTTTCATTCAATTATTAAAAATCCTCTCCTCTCAAGCCATTCGCAAACTGACCACAGTGGGGAAAAGTCCAGAAACACCCAGGGTAGCCTGGGGGGAACGTTTGCCCCATTGGATTCCTAAAGATCTTTGAAGGTGGCTTCCCTGAATGTTAACATCTTATATAACATGCTACATTTGTTTTTTAAAAAAGAAATTAATATTGATACAATCCTATTAACAACAGATATTATTTTTTTAACCAACTTATGTCCTTTTTTGTTCCAAAATCCAATTTAGGGTGCTGCAAAGGGGAATTGTGATACAGACTGAAAAACAATCTCCACTAATAAACTTTTCAAAAATTTTTTAATATCACCCAAAGGTATGTTTTATTTAATTTAGATAGAGAGGAAGGGGGAGAGAAAAAGAGGGAAGGAGAAAGAGAGAAACATCGATGTGAGAAAGACACATCGACCGGCAGCCTCCAATATGCACCCTGACCTGGGATGGAACCCGCAACATGTTGGTGTGCTCCATGATACTTCAACCAACTGAACCACTTGCACAGGGCACAGATCTTTTTGAGTGAGTATGTACACAAGGAATCCTCCATCCATCCCTGAGCCATCTAGTAATCCAGGGACAGAGTGAAGGTCAGGAAAAGATTCAGAAATATCTATTCTACATGTTACCTATAATAATAAAAGCATAATATGCAAATCGACTGAACGGCGGAACAGCAGAAAGACCTTCCGGACGACCTTCCAGACGAAGCCGGGGCTGCAAGGGCCAAGCTCCTTGCAAGAATTTCGTGCATTGGGCCTCTAGTTCCATATGTTATTTGATGACAAAATTGACGGTTTTAAAATGTAATGCAGCTACATTAAGAATGATGACATCAAAATACCCCTTTCCTCCAATCTGAGGCATCATCGCATCATATTTTAACCAGGGAAAGACAGCCAGATATTAATTTATCTCAGCTAATTCATGCAGAGGCAGTTACCAGGTAGGAAACTGCAAGTTGGGCGTAATAATAGCTCTTTCTCACAGAACAGATCCCGGGGGCAAGGACAATGTCTACCTCCATCACCATTATATGATCAGCATCTGGCCACCTGGTACAAAGTAGGTGCTGAATACATATTAGGTGACTGAATGAAGCCATTTTCCAGGCCATTTCAAAAGGTAAATTAATATTTTTGTGGGATGTGAATTATGTTTTTTCCTTTACATTCACAGAATTGGTTACTCAGAGATATTCTTTTATCCTAGGAGAAAACCTGTCACTTGCTTCTGACACAAAGCTCGGGAATTACGATGCTTTGAAATGTGCCCTAATTGAGTGGTGTTTGAATTTCTGTAAAGTAATGTTAGAAACCTAGAAGAAGACTTCAACACTTGACCCAGTGAATTCTGAAAGGCCATATGCTTTGTGTGTCAACAATGATTATTAAAATACTTAATGCACTGCTGAGTTCCCAAATGGTGAGCCCTTTCCCTGCCAAACAAAGAGGATGTTGCACTGTGGGGCATTTTGATTATGGTCAAGTTCATTTACAATTTTGTGCTCCATGCCTGTTCTTTGAAACACGTTTCCCGTCTGCAGCCTGAGGACAGAGCACCAAGGACACAGGCAGGCCCAGGCCACCTTCGCGACTCTAATTTCATATGCCTCCACATGCACTTAAGTGAAAACTGTTTTGCTTATTATTCCTTTCAATCCCAGATAAATTACATTCGATTACATAAACATCTTGTGGAGCTCCTCTGTTTTTCAAGGTCCTTTAAAATGTCTTCAGTCAAATAAATGTCCCCTTTGTTTATTTCTTAATTTTATTTCTGTTGCTCCACCTTCCTCCTCTGATTCTCCAAGTTCCAGGAAATGATCGCGCATATTAGACCCTCTTTACGACCCGGCTTTCCCCAGGCTGCAGAAATGCAATTCACCAGATAAAGGAGCAATGTCTCAAAACGACAGGGCCCTCCTCTGTACTTATTCCTCCTAACCTGAAATTCTACCTCATAGCCGCAACTTCAACTATGGTGAAGCCAAAGCTATTCATCCTCTTGGTTTAATCTGGCTTCCCTGGCCAGTGAGAAAGGTCTTCTTCATATTACTCGACAACCAAATAATTTGAGAGCAGTTTTGGATTTTTCGTAAGTGTTTTCTTTCCTTTATAAATGAAATAAAGAAAAACTGCAATCTTACGTTTATTACATTTTCTTCCAGGAAAAGGCTCTCTCTTCCTCCCTCAAACCATTCATTCAAATACTTTTTTTCTACATGCGGGTAGCAGTGAGTAAAATGGAAGTGGTCTCTGTCCTCACAGAACTGAAAGTTCAGTGGGTATTTTCACACCAGTGAGGGCATAACAACAAACTGAGTGAGGTGCTCAGAAGGAAAGCCACACAGTCCCACGCGAGAATGATTTACCAACGAATCTGACTGAGAAGACATTCTCCAAAGAAGCAGTGCATAAGCTCTCTTCTGAAGGACTGAGCATGATTAACTGAGCAAGGAGAGAGAGAGTACTTTAGCAGAGAGAGAGAAGCATGTGCAAAGGCCCTGGGGTGGAGGGCAAGACGGCAGGTCACAGAAGGTCAGTGTAGTTGGGTTGCTGAGAGAAAGCAGAAGGGTGGTATGAGATGAGACAAGAGAGGAGGGTTGGGGCACATCCTGGAACAGGGGTCTTGTAGACATGCTCAGGATTTTAGGTTTTATTTTAGAAGCAGTGGAAAACATTGGAAGCCTTTAAGCCCGGAAGGCATAGGATCTTATTTTCAGTTAGAAATGATCACTCACTGTGGTGTGGGGATATAATCTCAACCCATTTATATAAACATGCCATGCAACCTTTATTCAGATGCTCATTTTTAGATAATGAAAATAATCCAGGTTTCTTCCCTACTCTGCTCTTCAGAACTCAGGTCTGTAACATGTTTTCTGGCCATGAGTGCAAAAGTCACCTAGGACAGTGGAGCACACCAATGCCTCAGGGTAATTTTCTAGGAATGTATAAAACACTGTAGTGGATGGATACCTTAGTCAAATAATTCTCTCAGCAATGAGTCAGGAGAAGTGGGGCCCACACCGCGGACCACTCTCTTTTGAGTTTCCGGAGAAGAGAGTTTTCACTCTGCTTTATTTCACTTAATCACGTGTTCCAAGTCGGGTGAGGAGAGGAAAAAGAGTAAACATTTAAAGCGAGCAATGTTTCACCACTGTTTCATTTTTATAGAGGAGAAAACTCAGGTACAAAATGATTTGCCTAAAACCAGATAGCAGTTAAGTAGAAAGGTCAAGATCTGGCCCAGGTTGGTTGGTGTCTCCTCTTGTCTAAAATATACACTCCCCACCAAAACCCTGCCTGCCTGTGGCCCATCCGCCTCCTCTCCCACATCCCTCCGCAGGCACCATACGCTCTGGGCACACTGAGCTGCTATTCTCCAGCCAAACCATAGCAAACCCACCTCTGCATTGTTGCACATTTCCTCTGCCTGGAAAGACCTCCCTTTATTGTCTACGTGGTAACTCTTACTCACCTTTAAAGTTTCCACTCAAAGGTTTTCTCTTCCGAGAACCTTTTTCTGTAATGCTCCTCAGCTGAGTTAGCATCTCTTCCTCTCTGCAGTCCATGCACGTGGCCATCACCCTTCTGACACAAACTATCCTAAGTGCTACCAGCTCCCATGTCTGCCCAGCTGCCCTTGACTATAAGCTGCATGAGGGTGAATGCTCACTATTCAATTTCACCAAGGCCAAGGCTACATGCCTCCAGGTAGCGGGTATGCAAAACACTGAATGAAGAAGGAGAGGGTACCAGAAGAGGGACCACCGAGGCTGTAACTCTGCTCTTGAACAGAGCACAGGGTGCTGTGTGCCCAACGGCGGTCAGACCTTCCCAGACACTGTCCCTCTTCCTCACCACCACCACCACCACTTACCGAGTAGGTGTGCCACGCACATGCACAGACCCTCATTTGATGCTCACAACACTCCCACACCACACTTTTGTTTCTGTTTCACAGAGAAGGAAACCGGGCTTCAGAACCATTAGGTAACTTGCCCAAGCTAATTTGACTGGCAGGGGAGGGGCAGGATGTGAAAGTCCACCCACATTTCACTGACTTGTTCTGCTTTCCCAGTTGTAGCAAATGTCACACTGGTAAGATTGACTGTGTACTATCCCAAATGGGGGCGTGTCAGGGGTTTGCCTACTACTCTTCTTCATGACGTAAAAATATTTCTAATATGTTAAATTTGTGATTCTGGCTTCTTGTTTTAAAATACAATACACGACTCACTATGCAATAATGCATCCATTCATGTAAAATCCGAGTTCAAGGTCTTCTGTTTTGAAGCCCTTGGCAAGTTGAAATAAGTACTGTTAAAATTATTCATAACCATGTACTTTATAATACGCAGATACACTTTAGATTAATTTAGCTAGCTACCACACTTCCCCAGCATTCTTAATGTTTGCTCAGCTGGTAAATTATTTTTTTCTGTTAACGTAAGGCAATTCTGTCAGAAAATTTAACCGACTGGGTTCACTTCCTCTTTAGGTCATTAGTGGAAATATTAACTAGGGTCACAAGACCGAGCCCAGGACACCTAACTTTATCAATTTCTCTCTAATCTGGGAAGCACACATTTCAGGAGAGTGTCCAAGATGACAATACTATCATTTTATCCCATTGGTATTTCTTCTATTTTATTGTGGTTTTAAAAAGTTGTCATTCCTTTTGTTATTACTCTTTTTGATCATTTATTCATGTATATGGGACAC